ATAAATAAACGTACCTAATTTAGAAATTATACATTTTTTGTGTATTTGTTACTGTAAACCTCAAACAGTTGTGAATGAAGATCGAGTGTTATCGTTTGACAATCTAGAAATAGTTTATCATTTGTAAGTCAACCTGTACTTCTCTTGCATCTTCGCTTCATCTATTTCTTCTCAACCACTAATTTTTACATCTGCTATTACATACCCTTCGTTAGATTTATGTTTGTTGAAATATGTACCAACAAATCCAAACCTTAATAATTTTCTGTATTTAATGTATTTATAAAAAAAATGAAATGTTATTCTTTTTATATCTCATTTTATACAAACAGATTTTTAGGAATTGTGAATTACTTTATGAAGTTATATTACGCTATTTCAACTGGTGTATAATGTGTTGCATAATTCGGAAACCAACATCCTCATATGCTTTTTATTATAGCTTAAAAATAGTTTTGCTAAATATAACACATTTTAATTAATTACAAAAAAAATGGTTTATGATTTACTTCATTAAGTTAAAACATATATAAAGTAAACTAAGTAACTGCCTAGATCTAGAATTTTTGTAATGAATACAGAGAGCAAAGATTCCAAAGGAGGATATGTACCTACTGATAAGTACAAAAATTAACCCCTGTTTACGCAATTTAAACAGTTTGTAACTGTTGTCACTGCTTAATTTTCAATTATTTAACTAATGCCGTGTATTATATAACATAAAAATAGGAGTACAACTTTAAAAACTTTAATTTGATACGTAAAACCAAGACTTTAATGTTTAATCTCCAAGAACTGCGGCTGTGGATAAGTTTTAGTTTTGTATTTTTCGTTAATTTTAAACTCTTTTAGGTATTCTTGTAGCCTCTTAACTATTAAAAAAAAGTCATATTTTGATAATGTACTCATTAAACATCTCATTTTGCAATATTTTCTTATAAAATTCAATTTAAAGTGTAAAAATGCCAAAAATTGAAATTAGAGGTTAAATTGTTGACAGAAACAATATCTACTGCTGTCAGCTGCTACCTGCCTTTTCTATGAATGGAAATGTTTACTACTTCACTCAACTTTACTACCGTAGTACTACAAAAAGCACGTGGCTCCTCATTAAATAAAATTTGTAAGTCAATGACCCCCATTAATTCAATAGGCAGTGAAATATTACCCTATTAAGAAAAATTACGCAAAAACAATATCTACTGCTGTCAGCTGCTACCTGCCTTTTCTATGAATGGAAATGTTTACTACTTCACTCAACTTTACTACCGTAGTACTACAAAAAGCACGTGGCTCCTCATTAAATAAAATTCGTAGGTCAATGTCCCCCATTAATTCAATAAGGAATGAAATATTACGCTATTAAGCAAAATTAAGCAAAATAAACGCTACAACTGCAATTTGTGATTAATTGTATAAAAAAAATAAGTAATTGTAGGTTAAATAAATACAAATTCCACTTTAAATTTAATTATCATTCATATTATACAAATAAAAGTAATACATTTTTCAAAAATACCGTGGTTTTGGAATTGATATAACTACTGTTGTTATTATTTTCACTTAATACAATAAATTATACAAATTAAACGCTACAAATGCAGTTTTTGTTTAAACATATATAGAAATAAGTAATTACATGTTAAATAATCGCAAATTTCAATTTAATTATTATGCATTTTTACTATATGCTGTTATTATTCTTTCAACTTATACTATTAATTAATAAGGGTAGTTGCTTTCATTGTAGATAAACTCATATAACATACATACATAAGTATATAAGACGCGTTTCTTGGACATTTATTATCAATTAAAGCTTTAAAAAACGATTTTAGATTTATTAAAAAAAAAAAGTGAATGATGGGATGTTTAAATCCAGATCCTGTATAAGTTGATTATCGATAATTATACTAAAATCAATTAATGAGTAGAAAAACTGGATGCAATTGAGTTTTTTTTTGTTAAGTAAAGTATGTTCGTTATTGTTATACATTTACCTACCTATTAATTTCACTTTGTCCATTTGTAAAACATAATTTTTATTCAGTTAAAACAATTCTTCTTTTCAAATATAAATTGTGTCAAAGTTGGCGTTTATCCTATGACTGTTGTATCTTTTTATCATATCGGGCAAGGTTATCAAACGTTGTTTATCGTTTCAGAGTAGAGGCCCAGCAACCATCAGTGTGTGTTGTCGTAACGCCATGTTAACTTCACGTAAACAAAATGTTATTGTGCTTTGTGCAAATATTAAAGAGGTATCCAAAATTCAACCCCTTTGATTGTGCATCAGAACCAATCCTTATACAACTAATTGAGGTGAGTTTTTCATTTGTTTAAGTTTGTTATTTATCTTTTTCCCNTTATGTTAACTACTGGATTTATTTATTTATGTATATTATTTGGGTTTTATACTTAAATATTAATTAACAACAAAGAATATTATTTTTAGAGGATCCTTGCTGTTTATTATTTTGTAATTTTGCTTCGGTGTGGACGAATGTGATGTCGTGATGTGGTACTAGAGATAAAAAGCTGCTTATCGAATGAGTAATGCCCTTTCCATTGTCCTTGTTCTGGTTTTGTCAAGTTTGTACATAATAAACGTTTTTAATAAGCGTATGAAATACGATAAAATTGAGTTAATATTCTGTTTAATACGTGCATGAATTAATTCTATACAATCTTTAGTGGATTTAAAATGCAGTTAATAATACAGTTGGCTTCTTCTATGAAGAAAGGTAGGATGATTTTTAATTTACGATTAATAGTTGATGTGACGTCACATTGTTTGTTTTAAAACGATACAATTACACAAACACACTGTTGTAAAATTTCTGTTCTTAGTTTCTTGCAAGGACTTCGTTTTTAAGACAAACCAAAAAATACGATATTAAACAAAAGAATTGATTTTAATTAATTAGGCTGCAACTTAATGAACTAGGGTCGGGTATGAAAATCGCCCCCAAAATAGTGTTTTGAAAAAAAATCCGTTTTATTAAAAATTTTATTATTCCTATTAATTGCTATAATACCTAAACCATAAAATTTAGAATCACTTGATCACTCTAACAGTTAAATACAATACAATAAAAGATCATAGCTAAACCAAAGTTTTTTAAGTTAATTCATTGATGTAAATTTTATTTAATTCAAACCACATTCAAAAACTGTTGCACTACGTGATTTCTTACTCATTGATACATTAATTTCAGCTTTTTGAACATTCAATATAATTGTTTTACAGGTCGAAAGTTTACGTGCCCCCTTTTATGTTTACAACTAATTGTATGTAATTTTTACATTAAGTGTATCAATTAAATGTTCTCTCATTCCCGCTACATTCGTAATCTGTGACGTAATTCTTCATACGTTATTGTATAAATTTCATCTTTTTGAACTTTCAGTACAAATGTTCTACAGGTCGAAGATTTACGTGCGCGCTTTTATGTTTAAAATGTTTACGTAATTTTCACATTATATATACAGGGTGTTCTGAGCAAGCGGATTTCTTCAATAACTGCTTTATAGTTGAAGATATCAAAAAAAGTTTCTTACAAAAGTGCTACCATATAAGTATCTTTTTGAAAATTCACGAACGCATTTTGTT